ATAGACTTGGAGCCGTATTTTATTAACATTGTTGTTCGGCTCATTTAGCAGATCCTGCAACGTCTGTAGTTTTTGTGCTATCAACATCATCCGCAAAAATCAGCATTCGAAATTCTTCATCAACTCTTTCAAAACTCTTTACCATCTTCTTCTTCCGAGGACTTGTTCCTATTCACACGTGAAGGCTTTAGAGGAAAATTTGTCTGTTTCATACCTCTGCCAATCTCAATCCTTACTGAATCATCGAATAGTGTTATTTCCGTGTGCGAATTGACCAAAAAGTCTTTAGTAATTTGCGTATACACGTTTTCAACGCTTTGCTCCACAAGAGATTGTAAAGCGGCATGGTGTTCCGCGGAGTCAAAGGCCTTCTGAAAGTCAGTGAAGAGGAAGTATAGTAGTATTTGCATTCCTTGCACCGCTCAACCAGCTGCGTGCTTGTAAAGATATGATCAGTGGTCAAGAATCGCTTGCTGAATCAAGCCTGCTCCCTCCTCATGTTTTCATCGAGCATCTTCTCACTTTTTGAGTATATCAGTCACACGAAAATCTTGTATGTGTGGGAGAGAAGGCATATCAGGCGGCAGTTACTGATATGCTCCCAGTCGCCATACCAGGACCGTTCTGGATTTTTTCTAACCTGCTGGAGTCTTGCTGAAGTTAAGACACCAGGAGAAACGAGCACTGAGTGCTTTGAAAAGCTTTTTGCCTCCAGCTTGGATTTCTTCCGCCCAGAGTTTATCTATTCCTGCTACTTTTCTTGGTTTCATGTTGCGAACTGTATTTTCGGCTTTGTACGGCTCTAGCTTTGTTGCAGCGGACGCTGTTTATATTCTTATTCTAATTTTACTAACTTTGATAATTTTACTAATTTTAGCAATTTTACTAATTTTCTAATTCTCACTTTTTGCCTTCCTTATCGATTCTTTTTAGTTCATCTTTTTATGCGTTTTTTGCAGCAAAGCAATGCCAAAAAAGCATATTGACGAGAGGTTGTCTGTGTGTTTGTGTTCTGTGTGCCTGTGTGTGCGTCTGTTACGCACTTTCATCTTAGGTACTATAAAAGCTGCGGGGCTGAAATTTCGG